TCAGTATCTTCTGATACCTTCTAAATTGCCTATCCAGCCTGCCTCTCTGAGCACTTTGTGAGTGCTTTACCTTAACCTTTAATGAGCCTCTCAGACTTAACCTAACACAAATCTTGATTTTTCTATCAAATCTGTTTTTCCCTCAACTTGTTCCCCTTTCCAGTAACTGGAACTACCTTATACTCACTTGTTCAAACTAAAAGACACGGAAGTCCTTGACTCTGTTCTCTCATCCCTATATCTAGTCTCTGTGCAAGTCCTGTGGGCTCTTCTGAATCCATTCTTTGCCTCATTTCCATTGTTACCACCCTAGGCCAGGCTACCTTTATCTCTCACTCAGACTATTGCAGTGCCTTCCGAACTGCTCCTTACCCCTAACTTCCTCACCTGGCCCTTGTCCTATCCATCTGCTACATAGCGGGAAAGGATTACTTTAGGATTCGAAGAGACCAGGTGATTTCCTTGTTAAAAGCTGTAATGGCTTCCCATTATATCAAGTTCTTACTATGATTTGGCTCCTGCCTTCTGTGACCTTTTCATATTTCCTTTGCTTGTACTGCTCTAGCCACAGTAGCCTCATTTCTGGCTCAAGGTCCTTTGCTATTTCTGCTACTTGATTAACTCTTATCTAAATGTTTGCATGGCTAACCCTTACTTGTGATCTAGTCCTCAAGCCCTTCTGTATCCTATCTCTTGTCACTTATTTTGCCTTATCAGTCACGTCACCACCTGAGCTCTGCTTCCCCTCCCCCGCCAAGCCCCTGTGGAAAAATGTCTCCCATGAAACTGGTCCCTTTCTGATGACAAAAAGATTGGGGACTGCTGGTTAACACTGTATGAAATTATCTTGTGTATTTTTCATCTTCATCAGTACTCCCTTTGCGTAGAAAGGTGGGTGGTATGTTGTGATTGTTGAAACAAGTCCCTGAATTAGCACCAAATCATGTCAGACCAGGAAGACTATCTTCCAGTTATCCCACGTGCAGCAGGCCATTCTCTTGCTGAAGAGTCAAGCATGGCAGGAACCTACTCAAAGCCCTTGCCTCTCCGGTGAACCCATGTGCTGCCTCAGCTGGTGTGAGATTCCGTCACCCAGGAAAAATCCAGCTTTCACTTGGCTTCCCATTCTATTTGTCCTCCAGGATCCCATCTCTAGGCCCTGATGCCCAGTAGGTCACGATATCCTAAGTTCCCACCTAATATTAGTCATTTACCTTTTTAAGAACCATTACTTCTCAGGTTTAGTGTCATCCAGAGGTTTCTTCAGGAAACCAGCATTGAGTGTGTTTATTCAATTCTCTTGTCAGTAAAATAAAGTTCAACACATTCATTTTAATGGCTACAAAATAGCATAGTAAAGATGTACCATAATTTATATTAATTTACAGGTT